TCTTTCCACTAAGTTTTAAATTTTATAACCAAGATCTAAACAAATCAACACGAAGTCTTCCAGAGTATATTTCTTTAAACATACCAAGCCTTTTAATTTTAAGAACACCTGTGACTTTTATTAAACTTAGGACCAAATTTACCAGTCTATAACCTTATATTAACATAGTTGATAGAAAAATGCACACCATGTAATGTTACCAGGAAATACAATAGAATTTAAAACTCTGTATATAATCTTGTTAACAATATGTTATTAATGTTAATATGTATATACCTTGAAAAAAGACAAGGAGAAAATATACTAATAGCATAGTAGTGGATATCCTTGGGGGGTAGCAGTATGCATGAGTTAAATTTTTTAGTCCTTTTGTATTTTCCACATTTTCTAAAATGAATATGTATTACATTAGTAATAAAGGTATTTTGAAACCCCATATAATGGACACATTATTTTATTAAAAATAATTCTGGATTTTAAAAGATGTTTGTATATATTGTGGGTTATTATATGCAAATTTCAAGTTATTCCTTGTTTTAATTTGTTGTCTACAAAGTTGAAGGAAGTTTTAATAACAAAAATAATAATAGATACAGTAATCACAACTTCCATGAATATAGTCCTCTCATAAACGTATGCTATCACATATATGGTCATATAATGCCCTTCGTTAATTATTCTTGCTTTTTTTTCATGTAGGCAAGAGGAGTATTAATGGCCATAGATTAAAAGATCTTACAGCTACTAAATGGCTGGCCTGAAACTAGATCTCAATCTAGTTCTTTTCCCACCATTCTCTATAGGAGTAAATTAGAAAATTACCTTTTCCTTTGTGAAAAGAAAAACATCATGGTAGACTTTTGCACTTTTCATGTTTATGATTGTGTTACTGTCATTCATTAATGCTTCTGCCATGTGTGGATAGAGAACACACCAATATCTCAGTGCCTGTTATGTCCCAGGCACAATGCTAGACACTGGACATGCATTTACCCATCTAGTCCCCCACAAAAAACACGTGATATAGACATTTTGATGTCTATTTTAGGAATGTGAAATCTAAAAGTTCATAGCATGTGTGAATTGTGGATATGGAATTGAACCCAGCTCTTTCCTACTCCATTGTTTAGGAGCATTAAAAGCTGATTGCCCTAAAAACTTTATTAGAATTTTCTCCAGGAAGTACAGGGGAGAGGGATGAGATACCCAGAAGACTCTTGGTAGAGAAAGCAAAACTACGGACAGTCCCCACAAAGCTGCCCTGCTGATATCAGGGCTTAAGGGTACACACTATGGAGAAGATAAAACTGGTTTTAAATCCATTTCTGACCCTTACTAGCTGCGTGACCTTTGGCACCACCTGTCTTCTCAAATCTTCAATTTTCTCATCTGAAGGATGGAGAGACAGCAATAATACTTATAATTTTTGCAAGGCATGAATGAGGTAGCTTAGAGATTGTAGCGCACAATTCATGGGGTAAAACTGGGGTTCTGTTAATGTTACTTTTAAATGATGATGATTATAAACCTGAAGTTGCATAATACTATATAACCAAGGAAAGACTTTAATATAAAGCCAAGAGTTTAAGTGAAGTTGAAAAGAAACATTCTAATTGAAGTCTTTTTGCAGGCTGACTTAAGTTGATGAAAATTAAGAAATTATTAGAAAGATACCAATTTTTTTCTAATTAATTAATATATTTTGCTAAGGAGGTTTTTGCTATGTGAAGCATATTCTTTTAATTCATGTAGCTTTAGCATAGTTTGCATGGATTCCTACTTGTCATATCTTTTAATAGGGAGAAACTTAAAAGGAGACAGAAAGAAGGTTAGGGGACTCCTCTTTGATTTATAGAGACTAGTAAAAGTATGTTAGATGGGGAAGTTCAAGTGTTCTTTAGGTCTTGGGTAGGGTGATGGGACACAATTGTTTGGAGGGTGGGGGTGTATTTTGAGGGCAACTGAATTCTTACATACCCAGCTATAATAGACCTATTGCAGAGTTGTTTTTCTTAACTTATGTTTAACAATAATAATCTGTTTTGTTGTTGTATATTACTTTAAATAAACATTAATCTTTAAGTGATTGATTTAGTAAAGATTTGACAACAAGACTGTTATTTTTACTTCCTGTTCCCTTTTTTATTGTTTCTCCAAGACTGGTTTTGTTGAGGCCTCAATGATTGTGGGGCTTATTATTATATTTCTCATAGATTCCAATTCTTTAATGTTAGCAAGTTTACCAGGTAGTCTCAGAGATTGCTTCCATCTCTCTAGCTCTGTAATTCCATGGTTTTATAGTAAGGTATTATGTGTGATTCTCAGGCTTACAGCTTGGACCATGTTGTTATAAAGTATTTGCTAGTGAGGTCCTGTGCCTTACTTGAAATTAACACTTACCTTGATTCGTGAGTTACTGTGAGCTTCCTATTTGGAGGACTGTCTTGTAAGAAATGCTTTCATTTGTTGGAAAGGTGATGCACAGTCCCTTTGCACAAGGATAAGTGCAGCGTACAGTAAGCAGCCCTTGTGCATTTTATGGGCCTGTGATGGGTTCACTTTAGGCTAATGAGAGATTGTGTAGTGTTACTCAGGTTTTAAACACTTACACTATTATTATTAATAGAATCTAGTCTGTTTTCTGGAGAGTGAATGACAATCAGACAATATATTATTACTCTTAAAAATGATTTCCTTTTTAATCGGTATAGTGTAAAAGATTGCCTGTGTCAGCAGCTTTCTATTTTGTGCCATCATTCCTTTCGCCTTCATGGCTTTTTCATGAATGCCCACTTCCTTTCATTGTTATTTATATTTGTTGCTTGTATTGATTTTTTTTTTTTGAGCTTTTTGTATTGTATCATTTCTTCATATCAGACATCATGATCTGAGGAGAAAAGCAAAACACACCAAAGGGGGACCGAGGACTGTGCCTCTGTTTTCTAAATTCAGGAAAGCTTTTTGCCCTCCTGAAATCAGTGCATTTCAGTGTGCTTTGAGCATCTGTTAATATTTTCTTTAGGTTCCTTTCTCTCGAGTGGACAGACTCAAAAAGGAGAGGCAGTTGGAATCTGTGGCTGTCATAATGAGTGCAGAGCATGCTGTTAATAGGAGATGCCATGTAACTTCTGAGTAGCAACAATAATAACCGCTGCTATGGTATTAAAGCCTGTCATTTTTAGTGACGAAGCATGCAGACATATAAAAAAAAGCCCTTTAATTTTGGTCATGGCTTGTAGTTTGGTTCTTGAAGTGCTGGTGGAGAGAGCACTCATACACACTGAGTACTTTTCATATGCTAGCAGTTAACGCAGCACTGATCAGCTTCATGGTGAATCACTTGGCTTCTTGGCCTCCATTTCATCATCTGTAGAATGCGGTAGTTGGTCTGGAACAGGGTTTCTTGTCCTCAACCCTGTTGACATTTGGGCTAGATAATTCTTCATTGTGGGGGATGGGGGACTGTCCTGTGCATTGTAGGATGTTCAACAGTGTCCTGGTCTCCGCTCACTAGATGCCCGTACACCCCTTCAGTTATGATAACCACACCTGCCCCCTGGCATTGCCCAATGTCTGCTCAGGCACAAAACTGCCCCAGTTGGAAACCGCTGGTCTAGAATCATATTTTTTTAGGTATATTCAAACTTTCAAGATGGTATGATACTAAGTTTATGAACATATTAATAATAATTATCAAAGTCTTGTGATAATTTCTTTCTTTGCAGTGACATGAAGAACAGAGTTTATTTGATGTTTGCCTTGTTGGAAACTTTTCTTGATAAGACTTTAATATTGCTTTGAATTTGTTTCTCCCATTAAAATTTGGGGACTCAGGTATCAAAGTGTGAAGAAGGCCACAGGAGAAGATCCTTTGAACAAACAACACTTAAAGTTGATAGATTAATACCTATGGCTGGGATGGGCTATACTACTGGCTAAATGGTGCTGACACAATCAGTAAAGATGAGTCCTGGTACATAACAGACATTCCAAAGTACCTGTTGAATGGATGGATAATAGATAAATGGTTGGACGAGTGACAGATCTGCTACTGCCAACTCATATAGCTTTAGGAACAGTATTTCATCAGTGATGGATAAAAATGGTAGCCACAAAGAGTGAAAGAGGTCTTGGGGTGTGAGCATTGCAGAGCCCCTCGGATTCTTCTGTGGGCCCCGGTGACTGCCTGCCTTTGCTCTTCCACTACCATTTCTTTACTCTTCTCTCCCAGCCCTATGTCCTTATCTTTTTCTTCCTCTGTGTTTATTGTCTGAATTGATTTTCTTAGATCTTTCATCTTGTATCATTTGTTGTATCAGATACCATGATCTTATAAGAAAACAAAGCACACCATGTTTAGTTGTGAATTCACATCTCAGCATTCCTGAGTGAAGAACTGCTTAATCTTTCTTCTTTGGTCACTTGAATCAAACCAGTGATGTAATTCCTAACCATCTTTGAAAAATCACTTCCATTTGATTTTCTAGAGCCCCATGTCTTTCTTTGATAATTTATTCTAGAACAATTAAAGTTTTTGGTGTGATTGATGGATGCCATGTTTATGTGCTCATAATGATGTTTTTGATTTAGCATTGAGAAATGTTTCCTCCATTTTGCAGTTAAGGAGATCCATGTCCAGATTTGATAAGACTCTATAGAGCCAAGTACCTATAGTAAAATGAGTAGTTATGCTAGGGCTAGAATTGCCAAGCCCAGACATTGAGACCATAGCAATAAGATGGAGGATAGAATAGAGGTGGGACAGATAATTTGATAAAAAGCATTGAATCCATAGTACCAGAGGGTTGAAACATTCTTCTTTATGTTTTCTTTAAAGGCATAAAAATAATTATTGAGGGTGGCTACTTCATGGTATCACAGTTTTGATTTAATGGGAAGAATATCTTCTCTCAAATGGACAAATTACTAAATTTCAAGAACTTTTCTCCTAGTTTTATTTTGGTAAGTGGTGCTCAAGATCTGCTTCTTTTTTCTCTTAGACCGTCCCTCACCATGCCCCATAGGAATCTGACGGGAAGCTGCAACGTCAATTGTGGTTGTAAAATACATGAGTATGAGCCAGTCTGTGGGTCAGATGGAATTACATACTTTAACCCTTGTCTGGCTGGTTGCGTTAATAGTGGTAATCTTAGCACTGGGGTGAGTATATTTCACAAGTTCCTCTTCTCTTAATCCAACATCCTGTGACAAAGACCTGATAGAATTCATATGCAACCATGATGACTTCAGTCTCCATTTGCAAGAGGCTCCAAGTAACTTAGAAAATATCTCTGACAAAAACCTAGAGGAAAGAAAATTATGCAATGCTGTCAATTTTTTCCGGGGATTGCAGCATTCGGGTGTAGGGATTCGGTTCCATATCAGCCCTCTCCTACTTTACATTCCGTGCCAGCTCAGTGAAACTTGATAAGGTTGAGCTCTAAGCCTCCCATCTGTTCCTTTGACAAGGCCCTTGTGATGGATTTGAAGGTCAAGATGACCACATTTGGTGCTGATAGAGGAAAATAGGAAAGTGACCTCTGCTGATTGGAGTCTGTGAAGGTGGGTGATGGGCATTTTTCATAGACTATCAGTTCAGTTCAGACTTTATTTTTTTAAGAGACAGGTCCTCACTCTGTCGCCCAGACTGGAATGCAGTGGGCTGATCATAGCTCATTGCAGCCTTGAACTCCTGGGCTCAAGAAATCCTCCTGCCTCAGCCCCCTGAGTAGTTAGGACTACAGGCTCATGCCACCTACCCAGCTAATTTTAAAAATTTTTGTAGAGACAGGGATCTTGCTGTGTTGCCCAGGTTGATCTTGAACTCCTGGTCTCAAGTGATCCTCCCACATCAGCCTCCCGAAGTGCTAGCTAGGATTACAGGCATGAGCCTCTAAGCCCGACCTCAGGCTTTTTTTTTAAGCATTCAGAGTAAAGATGTATCTGTCAGCTCAAGGATAGGCTATTTTGAGAATTCCCTTTCCCATGAATTATAAATAGGCAGTAATACTGTGGGAGAAGGTTTTCATGTTCTGCTCAGTTCTTCATTATTGAGCCTGGTTTGATTCTTCGTGTCAGCCTGGCTCACAGCAACCTCAAACTCCTGGGCTCAAGCAATCCTACTGCCTCAGCTCCCGAGTAGCTGACTACAGGCCTGCACCACCATGCCTGGCTAATTTTTTTCTATATATATTAGTTGGCAATTAATTTCTTTCTATTTACAGTAGAGACGGGTCTCTCTCTTGCTCAGGTGGTTTCGAACTCCTGACCTCGAGCAATCCGCCCACCTCGGCCTCCCAGAGTGCTAGGATTACAGGCTTGAGCCACTGCGCCGGCCACCCCATTATATTAATATAGTAAGTGGAGCTCCAGGGTGTGACTGTGTTGAAGAGGTGGTGAGATCTATTCCTGTCAGTGGCTGGGTCTTTCCTTGGGAGTGGCGAGTCCACTGGTGCCTTGCATTTACTCTTTAAAAAACCCGCAGTCTTTGAGCACGAAGGCGTGGCCCATCTTCATATTAATAACTTGCTTTTATGGCTGTTCTAAGTGTCAAAAGGCTGCAGAGAGAACTGGTTCAGCTGGTCCATTCAGTGAAAGCAACATACAGGAGGAAGTTATCGGCTGATTAAACATTTGTTGGTTTGTTTTGGTATCCTGTAACACCTACCAGTGTTTTAGTTTTCACTTTTGCATTTGCGTTAAGTAGACCTTTTGGTATCAACAGAGAAGATTTGGACTTTTTTGCTCTTCCGTGCCTTAGTCCCCTAGAGCAGCCTGGCACATCAGTAGGGGCTGATAAATATTTGTTGGAAAGAAGGAACAAGTGAAATTTGGCTCCGTCCGACTCTGTCGGAGTCTAGAAGTAAACTGGATGGGACCTTTATACCATTCATAGAGTAGCATGGGTGCCGGGCACAAGCTAATTAGGGGGCAAAAAGATGTTTAAAATGGAAAGAAATGAGCTGTTATATATGATTGAACGTCAATGATTGAATATAAATTCTCTGCATATATTTAACTGACATTTTACTACTTTAGGGCCCACTCTGTGCAAGGGCTGTGCTGGGTGCTTCTGATGAACACCAATGAAAATAAAATTTGTTTCCAGTTTTTAGAGGTCATTAATAGGACGAGTCCAAGAGTTAAACACAAGTGAGGCACAGAATAAACCCAAAATGGGCACACATAATGATCTGTTACTGAATCGTAGAAGCGTCTTAGAAAAGTTTGGTTTTAAACAGTTGACGGCAGATTGTATTGTTAGGCACACACTTTGGACCCTTGCTGTTTAGAGGAAGATACTGTAATGAAATATTTTGCATTTTTTAAATACTGGAGCTGTTTTAGAGTATCTTTACTTAACTTTGCCTTAACTCCCTATGCCATATTTTGCTTTTGGTTGGCATACAACTGATATT